TCAGTTTAAAGATGTGAAAACATTCCAAGTATTGCAGTCGAACAGAACCACAGAGAGCGAGAATTGTCAAATGTATTATGTCTGTGACTATAAAGATCTTTATTCAAAAAACATGAAAATTGTGCAAGCATTAAGAGTGCAACATGCACACTTTGGCTGCCAAATCTACATTTAGAAAAAAGACACACAGAAGACATTTGAACAGCACTCTTTCCCTGTGGGTGTACAGGCGAACACACCTACACACGCTTTCATTTGTTTCCCAATGAAAGCATCAGGCCACCTGGGCCTTGCATCGAAACTTCATCAATCTCAAGAAATGGAATCCAGTGGAGAGAAAAATCAAATTCTCATTTGCAAGATGGGTAAGGAGAGAGAGAGAGAGAGAGAGAGAGAGCTGGAGGTACCTGGGAAGGCTAACCTCTAGCTGAACCCGCAGCATTGAATCGTTTTGCCATTTGTCTGCCATACTGACAGGCTGCAAAGAAGATTAGACACTCAAGGTTGTGACTTCCTATTCTCCTCATTTCATACCTTGCAAATCCTGAAAGCCTTTCTCTCCTCACCCACAATAACTTTTACTAGAGCTAGACATATTATAGTGAACACAGAGGCAATATTTTCTTAACTAATGAAAGAAAACGCATGATGAATGTAGTGATGCATGCTCTGTTGACTCATCACCGCACAATGAATAGAGCCACTGACAATGATATGACATTAACGGTTGAAAATCTCCTCCGAATGATCAGTTTACTGAACAGGAGGAAAAGTGAGAGTGTGTTTGGGTGAAATTACAAATGAGTGAGAGACAGAGCGTGAGTGAATATCAGCGTTTTCTGCAGCATCGGAGCCTTCAGATAGATCTGAACTTTTGAACCCGAAAGGCAGAAGCAGCGATGCACTAAGGATGCTCTGGTCTAATATGAGTCTATTTCAATTAATTAATGCAAAGGGAAACAGAGGGTGGGAAAATGACAGCGTGTAGGAAAGATGGTGTCATCTTTGCTGAAGTCATTTACCGTGCCCTGTGAAGCCTGCCAATGCATCGTATTTGACTATTTCTAAGTGCATCCAAACATTAATCATGATTAGAAAAAGATGGCTTTAAAAAAAAACAAAAATGATACTTCTCTTCAAGCCAGGGAAACTTTGTTTTATTTACACTGTTTCTATAGCAACTGGGGTCAATAATGTAGACTCAGTTGCCCTAGACAGAGTTCAGACAGGTCACGGAATGACCAGAACAAGACCCAGGGGTCAAAAGTTTACTGTAGGGAGGAAGAAACACTCAAAGTGTGAGCACTCACTGCAAATTGTATAGAGTTAAGAGGTTATGTGGACGAATACCAGCTGACGATGACTCAAAAGTGAGGTCACGTGAGGTGCTTTTGATTGCATGACTCCACATGCCACTGCATTAAGACAGATCAGGCTGCAGAACTAAAATTATTGACAGTAAATGTGATGATGACAAAAACAGGATTTGCATGTTGGCCACTTTACTTTGCAAGGGGTCGCTTAATTGCCAGGCTAAAATGTCTTTTTCATTGATGCATGCTCTTTTTGGACTCTCCAGAGATTCATTACTACAATCAATTTTCTAGCCAACACATCCATTAATTTAGAGGCTCTAAGATCTTGAAGAAAAAAAATCAAATTTACATCTCGATGATCTAATTTGCGATAAAGAAACAACTTAACTCTGAATCCTTTTCCCCTCACTGATTGGCTTTTCCAGCTTTGCCTGTAGAGCTGTGGTGGGGTAAGATAACAGAAACGAGAGGGGCTTTTGTTTCTGGACATAAATCAAGTCAGTGCACACAAAGAGCCCAGAGCATGTGCAGCCTTTGATAGGACATGCATTGATATTAGCCTCTTAAACACACAAGCTCCAGTCACACTAACAAACCATACACCTTCTCTGGAATATTTTTATTACTGAAACAATAACTGTAACTGACGTGTGTATGCGTTATAAAATTATCCTTTTTTATTTAGTTTTTTTAGTTATCAGATATTTTCAACCAGGCCATTCCAAGTGATAAGAGCATTTCTTCTCTTACTTTTGCATTTCCTAAACTTGACCTGGCAACATTTCCACCCCACTGTGAAGCTCCTCCTGCCCTGGGCTTCCCATCCTAGGCTGCAGGGCTGCTGTCATCCAGACGAGGCTGCAGGCACGGAGGGGTCAACCGTGCGGTCTGCGGGTGAAACTCAGTTCACATTACCATACAGACAGGGGCCCTGACAATAGAGCGCCCATCTGTTCCTGTCAGCTATAACAAATCTAGTGTCAAACCTCCCTCTGGAGACAGGGAGGCAGCGCTGGCTAAATGAAATAACACTGACTCCACCCATCGACAAGTCAACTGCTACCTCGTCCTCCAGTCAGGTTAGAGCACAAGCAAGACACAGTCAATTTCCCCTTCCTCACACAGGCAGGCATGTGACATCACGAAGCGAGTAACGGTGCAGGAATTGAATGCTTGAACTATATTTACCCTCCACTACAATAGGGTAAATTTGAAAATATCAGCATGCAAGGATACCAGCTCATTCACATTACATATACATTTGAGCCAAGCAACAAAAAAAGCTCTCAGCGTGAAGCGCCATTATTGAATAAAGGCAAATGAGAAAACAGACCAAATCTGAAGTTGCTGAAAAAGGTGCACATTCAAACCTTAATCTTCATGATTATATTCCTGTCTCTAATTTTATATGCTGTGAGATGCTCAAATGTCCTCCTGTAGGGCTTGATGTGAGATTTCCAACTGGTGAACTAAACATGAACCCTGAACTGCACTTGCCCTTGCTGGTCATTATCTTTATTGAAAGAGCGACATGATGCGAATCTTCTTCAAGTTACTCCTCTTTGACTTATATGCCGTTTCTAGCAAAGAAGCGAATCAAAGGAGCACATCCAGGATTGACCCCTTTTTTGCTAAATTGCAAACAACATATAAAATAAATGGGATGATGGAGAATTCATTTTCACCAGGGTGGTGAAGTTTCAAGTCAGTGAACAAGAAGATGTATGCATGACAAAAACAATGACTTATGCTTTTGTGTGAGTAGCCTGACATTTATATCTTGGTTAATATGTTTTTTTAAGAATATTTTAATATTAAAATAGATATAGACAAATTCTGACTATATCCTCTTTTTTTATCAGATTACAACATCTTAGAGCTGGTTACTAAAAATTAGGGCTGCAAGATATTGGAAAAATTTGACATTGTCATAGTTGTCTCTCTGCGATATACAGTTGAAGTCAGAATTATTAGCGCCCCTGAATTATTAGCCCACTGTTTATTTTTTCCCCAATTTCTGTTTAACGGAGTGAAGATTTTTTCAACTAATTTCTAAACATAATAATTTTAACAACCCATTCCTAATAACCATTTTATTTTATCTTTGTCATGATGACTGTACATAATATTTTACTAGATGTTTTTCAAGATACTTCTATACAGCTTAAAGTGACATTTGAAGGCCTAACTATAGTTTGTACTGTAGATAACAGAACAAAAATATATCTTAAAGGGGCTAATAATTTTGACCTAAAAATGTATGTTTAAAATTACAATCTGCTTTTATTCTAGCCGAACTAAAACAAATAAGACTTTCTCCAAAAGAAAAAATATTATCAGACATGCTGTGAAAATTACCTTGCTCTGTTAAACATCATTTGAGAATTTTTTAAAAAAAGAAAAAAAATTCTAAGAATTCTGACCTTAACTGTATATTATTCACAGAAGCACAAATTCACCAGATGACTTTAATAGCTCTATTTGCAAAGTGATTAATTTAGATTGATTGGGATGATTTTGTACGTGAGTAAAATATAAATTTATCTCATGTACTTCTTTATATACATTACGATAAACAAACTACAGTCATAAATAAACACATTCAAGTAAATGTTAAAGTGACATAAATAGTGCTTCATGGTTTTCCGGTAAGAGTACCATTCAGGTACTAAAATTGAATAATAATAATGCACTATTTAAAGTCTCTTCAATGTCCTAGGCCTTAAAATAAGAAGCAGATGATAAACTTTGACTCTATTATGGTTAAATTCTGCAGTGCTTCCACAAATCTTACATGTTTTGACCTGTGCTTTCTAGTTAATTATAATCCCAACCTTAACACTGCATATCTTGCGATGTGACTATTGCGGAAACACAAGTTCTGATATCGATGCTCAAACGATAAATTGTGCCTACTAGCAATCAATGCTATTGAACCAGTCCTTTTCTTAAAATTATTTTCTGCAAAGCTGCAGGGTTTTGATTCCTCTGAGAAAATTGTCAGTTGTATGATGAGTGATAAAGAAGAGAAAATGGATAAAATGCCCCTTAGGTACAGGGTTGAGTTTCAAGACCAGCTGGTTAGAGAGGAGTCGGGGATGATCAGTCACAGTTCTGGCCTGAAGCAAACTGCAAACTGCCCACGTCAGTAAAAAAAACAATCAGCTAACACAAAACACAGATTCTGACATGCTGTTTTCAATCTGTAGCATCTTGTTTTCAAACTCTCTTCACACTTTGAATTTTATTCTAGCTCGTTTTAGGGTCTACACAAGTGTAAATTTACTTTGCATCTAAAGGGGAAGTAAGCTAACATTTCCACGCCATTGTTAAACACAGGCAAACATGCCACAGCTTAACCCCAAGAACCCATGCTGAAACATCATGCTTGCCTGCCACTAGAGAGAGCTCTTCATCCCCTTTGTATGGAGGTAAAAGACCACCCTCCAATTCCCACTTCAAACACTCCTCAATGCCAGCAGCAGAGTTGTGGGAATCCACTAGAGGGTGATCTGTTACCAAACACCTCCACTGGGGCATTTCATCATTACCAGTGAAACCCCCACAACAAGTAATGTGCTAAAGATGCTTTAGACAAGTTTCCTGTCTTGGCTTATCACAGCTAACATGCATTAGAAATATGAGTAAACACACTCATATGCAGACAGAGTAGCTACAACTCACGCTCAGAGCCTCCTTCCTCCTGGTAGTCAGAGGCCACTGACATATCATCTGAGGGGGCAGAGCGTCCCAGACTGGAGCTGCGGTTGTCATCTGAACTGTCTTCAGGATTGGACTCAACTAGGGGAAAAAAATAAATAAATACAATAAAATTTACAAAAGTGCAAAACTTTGTTGAGTGGATTCAAGAGACTGTGGGAGGAAAATCATTTTTGTGAAACCAACAAGTTTTCTAAAGAACCATTGTTCAGGGAAAGACTGAACGGAAATCTCGCAGAGTAATTAATTAGAATTATGAAACAGCTGTTCACTTACGTCTGTGGGGAAATTCTTGTGGGTGTCTGCAAAAGAGGATAGCGAAGTGTGTTTAGAAATGAAAGTTTATAAAACGACTTTATAAACAAATAAACCTGTTAATAAAATAATGGTTAACTTTGCAATGTACTATATTTTTTAGTAAGGATCAGTGGTGGAATAGTACTAAAAATTATACTCAAGCAAAAGTATCAGTATACTTGCCTAAAAATGTAGTGCAAGTAGAGTAAAGGTATCTGTTGTAAAAAGTTACTCAAAGTATGCGTAAAAAGTAGACCTTTCAAAAGTACTCAAGAGTAGTGAGCATTACACTGTGAAAAGTTGATGCATTTACATGTAATTTGTGGATGTGTGTAAACGCAACATTCTGTAGTGCATTTAGTTATTTCCCAGCAGGCACACAACAGCGTCTAATGACAATGTTATTTATATGTCTAATAACAACGTCAAATGACATTGATATTTGGTTGATTTTAGGTTGTGTTTGAAAGTGACCAAAATCCAATGTCGAGCAAACATCTTAAACCACGTCATATTCAGGTCAAATACTGACATTTATTCATCAGGTATGGCAACCAAAATCCAAAATCTGATATCTGTCACAGTGGTAACGTCCACACAACTTCAAGCTGTAACATTATTATATTTACATCGTTGATTTTAGGTTGGGCGTTGGACATTGACTTTGGCCTGATATTGAGTTCTGACGTCAAACCGATTTTCATTTGCAACCAAATGCAACGTCCCCATGATGTTGGGGTACAACTTCAATTTCATGTCATGTTGACATCTTGTGTCTGCTGAGTGTTTAAGGCCATTTTGGTCATCATACAGTAAACATCCGTCATCTTCTCATCAGTGACATGCATCTAAACAGGCTTTGGGTCAATGCGTGTAAAGATTTTGGACGTCTTCTTGGACACTTTTAATGCTTCCAAACAGTTTGCTGCAATTATAAATCGCCCATGTCTTGAGGTAGTTCATTATGATGTGATTTACCTTTTATGTGTGATTTGATTTGACAGGAATTACAGGACTGAATTTTCTAATTCCCATAGACAAGAAATAATAAAGTAGTGACCACAGGTTGAAGGAAAGTAGGAGTAAAAGTACAAATACTGCACTAAAAATGTAATCAGGGGAAAGTTAAAAGTACACATTTTTAAAACTACTTATTAAATTACAATACCTAAGAAAAACTACTCAGTTACAGTAATTTGAGTATTTGTAATGTGTTACTTTACACCACTGGTAAGGATAAATATTTCAGGTCTGCAATTGAAAGTCATTCTACAAATTCTAAAGCAATCGAAGAGGTGTTTGAAGGAAAGAAGGATGAGTTTCTGCATAAACACGTGCATGTGTTGCATGTGTAAAACTGTGCAGTGCACTTGCAAATGATGCACTGAGAGCTAAGTAATCATGCAACCTCGTGCTAAAAAGAAAAAAAGTATGCTTGTTCTCCTTGCAAACACCTTGTTTCAGAGCAGCAAACCACAAAACCACTACAGCGTGTAAAAGCGATGTAATTGTACTCCGTGCTTCTAAAAAGACAACAATAGAGGAACTGTGCAATTTGCTTCCTGTCTGTTTAACTTTTGTAAATCATTTGTAACTCGACTGGGAGCAGAGAATGCCAAGAGGTAAACAATTTGATTCTATCAATGTACTTTTTGTAGTCCACACTGTGAAGTTACAAACAAGTAGGAGCAAGAATGTTTTAATACTTGAACATGAATAAAACATACTGTGACATCCCTTACCTTTTCTGGACGACAACAAAATTTCTTTGGAGAATTTCCCTAGACTCTCGAGCTGCAATACTGAGATTCTCATCATGGAGGATCTCAAAAACAAACAGCTCACAGTCTGAAAATAAAAATAAAAATAAAAAACAACGCAAGTAAACTTTTTGTTGTACTTTAAAATGTGGCAGACAAATTGCGACGGTTATCCCACATGGTATTTCAGTGTTCAATAGGGTATACATGATTTGAGCTATGCAAATAATCCCAGATTTCCCTGTATTAATGCAAATGTTGTAAATGTCAAAATGTGTAGATGACAATAGCCACCCTGTCTGTGTCAGAACAAAGATAACAATGTCACAAAAGCATTGTTAATGAAGTATCATTTTGTATAAAATGTATGCATCTGCAGTTAAACTGCAAAGCAAAACAGTTACAAGAATAGGCCAAAACCAATAAACTCATAAAATAGTCTGTAGGCCTACTCTTGGTTCAACAACATAACGCTGAAGTTTACAACAATTTGGCAAAGTAACTATTTACACTAGAATGTACCAACTACGTGTGCTCGGAAGTGCTATGAAAATAAGTATTTACAATATAGCAATTACTGTCACACGCTTTTTTCAAATAGGTTACACTTTTCAAATACCAAAAGTTCTAAATAAAAACAAATTATAACTACAAATATATAGGCTATGAAATATGTATTTATTTTGAAGTAATAAAAACTCAAATAAAATAAATTAACAGTGAAACAGTGAAGAATACCTCTTAACAGTTGTCTGATGTCATCAACAGCCGTCCCCATGTCTAACTCCCTGAGTCCAACAGAAATGAATGTTTGTAGAATTTTACGATGTCAACGACTGAAGGTCATATCATTGCTGAATGAATTTGTTGGTCAATTGTCATCCTACAGCAGGAGTTCGTAGAGTGAAATCGAAGAGAAATCCACACACACACGAACCGGCTCGCGGAGGGAAGATGAAGAGGAAGTGCACAGCACATTGTTGTGAAAATGAAACAAGTCTAAAGAGATGCAGGTAAATCATTCTGTTATCCACTCCACTGACTTGAATGTGTGTCAAATGAATTTCAAATTATTCCAAGTGGATTTTCCACAGCCACAACATTTAGTCAAATTTATAGACCATCCACCCAGTTTTCAACCAGTTCAAAACGATTTTAACGCTTTAAGCGTTTTCTGTTGGGCCGTTTTTTTCCGTTCATCAACAGGCCGAGCTGAAAACTCACTGCACCGTGTTTTTAATCTTATTGTTTGCGCCAAACACTATCAAATGTCTATCGACCATGAAACACCATCAGCGCTTTAGTGTAAGTACTGCTTCCTTTACTTTGAGAGATTAAAAATGTTTATAGAAAGTGTATAACTGTTAGGCGAGTTTGTGTAAAATAAACTTCCGTTGCTTGTCAGGTAACGTTAGGCTATTAGCCTACCCATTATGCTAATGTTTTATGCTACCTTTTTGTGCTAAAGCACACTATTTATAAAATGGAGGCCATTTTAGCGCAACTGTAGCAGACATACATACCGTCTTTATGTGTATATAAAGGTGTTTAAGTTTTCTACCACTCACCTTGAAATCAATAAATTGGTGTGAAAATGCTGTTGTCACAAATATAACGTTAACGTTACCCGTTACCGATGCCGTGTGACACTGACGGCTAATGTTATATGATATTTATGATAGCTATTATCTTAAATTTATTTTGATAATTATAGCCTATAGGCCTCTGTATTGTAAGAAAAATAACCACAGTGTCACAAGAAAATAAACTACAAATTAGAGGACATGTTTTCAAATTTAAACTATAAATAATCTGGTTTTGATTGAACCGATATTATTTATTTATTTAAAATCACAAACATATTTCTTTATGTAATAGGATAGGACATAATGAACAAGATGTACCCCTTTAGCGCAGTTCTTTTTGGTTAACTATGCAACACTCCTGGTCTGCCCTATAGACTCAGTTCAATGGCTCCTGTTCCTGCGGTATAGTCTCCTTGATTCATTTGCATCATATCACAAAAGCTCTTGCTTACCTTTCACAATTGTTTGCAAAATTCTGATTCAGCAGTTTGAGCTGAGCGAGCACTTAATGCATGTGAAAGACTGAGGACTACATCACATTGGGGCGGCACAACCTCAGTCTTCTGGTTTCAGAGTTATTACATTAATAACTGAATTTAATCAAAGCAAGGACAATTTATTTTGATTATGTTCAAGGTACTATATACATATACGTGTGTGGGTGAGTGTACTTGTGTGTGTAAGAATTTGAAAAAAAGTCGTTTCAAAAAGGTATAGTGAAACAATAATAACGCCAGAGGGGCTTTTATGATTAATATTATTTTTACTACACATGGGATAAAATCCCCCCACTCTTCCAACCTGGGGCAAAAAAAGCCCCTGGGGAAGGTATAGAATCATGTGTCAACATAATATTAAGTAACATTAGATACATATTTGATCAAGTTAGGTTGTTCAGACACTCCAGAACAGTGTAAAAAAAATAAGTGCCGGTGTATTGTAATCTTATCAATATATTGTGACAATTCTTTTTTTTTTTTTTTTTTTTACATTTTAGCATTTGACATACCTTTGTAATATTTTGTTTACAATATTGTATACTTGCAGTACAATGAGCACGATTGAGTTGCATTATAAGCATGTACAAATTAATCTCTTACGTGCAACTTTGCACATCTGTTTCCCTGTGGTTTCAGGGTTTGGGTTGTGATAAAATTATATTTGGTTGCAGTTTTGGTTCCACTGATACTCATTATTGTCATTATTGTTTTGCCTTAACAACTCTGTAAGTATTATTCTGATGAAATTAAATTCCACCTGTATTATTTTGCTGATATCTAACAGGTTTTAAAAAAGTATAATCCACTGAGATCTTTATTACATAAGCTAAAATAAGGCTTTGCTTGCAGAGCAAATGTAATAGAAGGCTAGATTTGAAATGAGGTTTGTTTTTTTGTGTTGAGGACATTGCCACAATGGTAGTGTGTTGTGGGTTGTTTCCTGACTGTTGCTCTGTGGTTTTGGTGGCATTGCTTTTTAAATACATATATTCTCACCTTTTCTATTTCTCATAACTGTAATTAAAATAATGCTTATAGGAGTATGTATTACAAGAAAATAAAATTTCCGTCTAGGGCTGGGCTGATAAACAATATTATATTGAATTGACTATAGTCAATATATTGATTTTTTACTCTGTATTAATCTAAGAGCCAATCACACAGCAGAAATGTGCAACAATAAGAATCTAAAAGTGTGTTGAAATTAGAGATGAACTGAATTTTCGACCACTGAAATTTTATCAGACAAATTTTTGTTAAGCCATTTAATGGACCGTCTGATATTTGAGACTTCAGTCATTGTTGGGGTACTCTTTTAAATCTGGAAGCGTTAACAATATATATATATGTGTGTGTGAGAGAGAAAGGTGCATTACAAAAAATATATATTATTATTTTTATTTTTATTATTATTATTATTATTATAATTATATCATTATCGGTTGAGAGCCATATTGCCCAGCCCTATTTAAGTGTTTTTATTTTACTTTGTTACTTGCTGTTTTAAAATTGTGTGATTTTTTTTCTAGTAATTCCTGTCTCAAAAATTGTTTCAAAATAAATCCTGCACCATTTTTGTCCATGGGATTTTCTGACACATTTTATAATCTGCTTTTCTGAACAAACTGTAAATGATGATTGTCTATGCAGAAGCCCAAAAGATTTTGTGTTTCATGTGGTGTTGCTTGGTGTTTGTTTACCAGCCATTTCAAAAAAAGCCCCCTCCCAAGTCTCTATAATAGAGATTCTCTCACTTTAAAAAAACTTTTAAAAGAAATTGTTGCATTATATTAGTCTTTCGAAATTTAATATGTTTTTTTGGCATTATCAATTACCTGCTATTTCATAGAGAAAGACAGAAGAGTTTGTTAATGGCAATTTCTTTGTAATTGATTGTGAAATTTAATAGTTGAATAGTTTATTGTACATTAAATCATATACGATTGACATCATTTGTCCAGAGTAGTTTCTTTATGGCATATATCACATTCATCACTGGAGTATATTTTATTAAAAATGAGTCTTCAAAAGTTTTTGTTCAATTCAATGCAATATTTTGTAAATATTTATAAAATGTACTTTTTAAATTGTAAATAAAATCTAGTACTTCTAAATATATATATGTAAACCCTACACATATTTGTTTTTCCCATGCAGTATTAAATACATCTTCATAAGGTTGCACAATATGTCATTTCAGCATTGATATCACAATGTGTGTGTCAGCAATATTCACATCGCAGGATATGCAATATTAAGTTGTATTTATAGTTGATAAACAGTTGAAAATACATAAGATTTGCGCAAAGTATAACCATAACAGAGTGAAACTGTTGAATTTACACAAATTAAATTTAGGAATGTTAAAATTATTTTTAAGTGGTTGTAAACAATTTAATGGGGCTGCGTTTAAACAAATTTAGTAAATCCAGGGAACGATCTTTTAATTAAATGTATTTAACTTGTTTCTTTGCTCTAACTATTCTTGCTTGCAATTTGTTTATTTTTATACATGATTCACACCCTTATAAAATCAACCCAATCAATCTGAATTATTTTTTTTCTCATTAAATAGAGCTATTCAAGCTATCTGGTCAAATTGTATTCATATCTCAATCTACATCACAGGACAACAAAATATTACAATGTCAGATTTTTCCAATATCGTGCTGCTCTTCATCGTCATTATGTTTTTATTATTTATCAAGACATTTAATCAGAGTTCAGTTAAAAACCTAGTCAAATTCTTTAGAAAAATATAATTTGACTACAACTGCAAGCAAGCACAAATGTGGCTTAAATTATATGCCTAATATTTTGAGTTTTATTTAATAGTATTTGGTTTTTCAACCTCACTAAACTTTAGAGAAAAAAAAATCAGACCAAGCATTTACCCAAACAACATTTGGTGTAGAAAAAAATGCTAATAAATTTCACAAATAATTACACGAAAAGGTCAAAAAAACTGAAAAGGTATTTTCCAACACAATCTCACAGCAATTCGTAACTTTTTCATTTAGTGGCTAATTCGTATGAATTCGTACGATCTAATTTGTACAATTTAGTACGATTTGCTTATATCCCAATGACGGTTGGGGTTAGGTGCCATGCCTCCTTTTAAAATCGTACCATTTCGTATGACTGAACTCATACAAATTCCTACGAATTAGCCACTAAACTGGCAAAACGTAAAATATTTAAGTTTTCTCGTGAGATCAGGCTGTATTTTCTTGTAAAACATACTCCAATAATATTTGTGGAGTCTACAGCTTTAATGGAGGCATCTTGTTCTGTGGATTCGCCAGTTAGAGTAAGGTGTTGCACACAGGTACAGGGTGGAGGACGATCATGAAAGAAAAACATGTGAATGGAAAAGGGGGAGCAGAATTCCACTGAGAGGACATGACCGAATGACCCCTGCGTCACTGTCCCTGCAGCTATATGGCCCCTTGTGAAGGCAGATAGAGGAATGAGCGTGGCCCTCCACTTCAGCATGCGCACTGCCTCCTGCCTGCTGGGCACAGCCATATGAAAGGATCTTGCCTTTGTAATCCGCCCGGGATTACACCTCCCAACAATGCACAGCTGAAAGGGCTACAAAGACCCAGTATCAAACACAAGCCCGGGCTGATGAGAGGAACCTGCTATGATCTCCTACCACCAACACTGCCATCAGCGCCTCTCATCTCCCCAAGAGAGCTCTTTTAGCATTCACCCGCTCCTTTCTTCTGTCCCCTTATCTGGAAACACAGGCTTTTTTATCTCTGCATTCCTTTTCATTTGCGTTTCACTTGGGGGAGGGGCAGAACTCTGTCATCTGAGAGCCCCCCCCTTCGCCTCATCCCATACTCAACCACCCCGAC